GGGGGGCTGCGCTAGGGGCGGCGCGGGGGCCGCGGGCAGGATGCAGCAGCCGCCGGAGCTGGGCGCGCGCTACCTGCCCGCCGAGGCCTTCGCGGAGCCGCGCGCGCACCGCTACCGCTCCTTCATGATCGAGGAGATCCTCACGGAGCGCCCGGCCGCCAAGGGCGCCGCGCCGCACGGCGACCTGCTCAAGTTCGGCGTGCAGGCGCTGCTGGCCGCGCGGCCCTACCACAGCCACCTCGGTACGTGCCCCGCGCGCGCCCCGCCGCGCCCGCATCCCGCAGCCCGCAGCCCGCGCGGAGCCTGGCGCGGCCGCTGCGCCCAGCGCGCCTCGGGGCCCGACGGGGCCTGCGGCCCGGAGCGGCGCCTCGAGACTGCGGGGTCGTTCGCGGAAACTCGCTGAGCTGTAAAGGGATTTGGTTTTGTTGTCGTAGCTGTTGTTAGCATTTCTTTTTTTTCGTTTATATAATATTATTTAAATATATASTATATAGCATATAGTATATGGTATATATTATATAGTATATAATATATAATAATATATTTAAATTACTAGATGCTCTGTAACCGTCTACATGACTACTGTAAGCAATACCACACTTCGCATGCATAGGTTTAGCTGGGCGCTCATGCATCGTTGGATGCATTTGTTTAAAAATGAGGTTCCTCGCACAGGGTATTTGTGGTCTGTTGCGGCGTCCAGAACAGTGCAGCGTGTCGGAGACGTTCTTAGTCTGGCCTGGTTTAAATGTGAAGTTACTTCAATGCGTGTTTGTGGAAGGTTTCGTTTCCAAAGCCGGTTTAGTGTGCGGAATCGTCGTGGTTTGCCCGTAGAAAGGAACGAAATTGAGAAATCTCAATTTGTCATTTCTCATTTAAAAGAAAAAAAGAGGGGAAAAAAAAAAAAAGAAAATTGATCGAGTCTCAGAGAATGGCGGCAGAATATGTTAGAATACCTAGAAATGAGTGTGGAAAGAGTGATTTTAGCGAGTGGCGGAGCTGTCTGAAGCGCGGGACGCAACAGGACGGGGTTGGTGGCGTCGTGGCCGGGCTGTCCCGGGCTCAAGGGAGGAGGACGGGGCTGCTCCGCTGCAGCTTCATCCCCCGATCCCCTCCAGGAGCGGCCGCGGAGCCTCCTAAGGCTTCTCGAAGCTCGGAATTCCCGATGCCCCCGCGGCTCGGAGGCGGCTCAGCCCCGGGGCCTCGGCCTCTCCAGAGGCGCTGCCTCTGCGGGCCGGGACACYCTAAGGGACCCCCGCTGCCCGGCGGGAAGCGCGGGGCCGCCGAGCCCGGCCGGGGCAGCCCGAGGCGCGGGGCAGCCCCGCCGCTGCCCGGGGACGTCGCGGTGACTTGGGCCGCTTCGCCCTGCGCGGCGCCGGGCGCTCAGRGCCGCTCTCTGCCTTCCTCCCGCAGCGGTGCTGAAGGCGGAGCCGGCGGCCGTGTTCAAGCTGCCGCTGGCGCCGCTCGGCTGCCCGCCGCTGGGCTCGGCGCTGCTGGGCGCGGGCCCCGCGCTGCCCGCCGCGCCGCACGCGCTGCCGCTCGAGCTGCAGCTCCGCGGGAAGCTCGAGGCGGCCGCCGAGCCGGCCGCGCGCGCCAAGAAGGGGCGCCGCAGCCGCACCGTCTTCACCGAGCTGCAGCTCATGGGGCTCGAGAAGCGCTTCGAGAAGCAGAAGTACCTCTCCACGCCCGACAGGTACCAAGGACGAGGGGGGCCTTTGGCAACACTTTTTAAAATTCTATTTTTTTTTTTTCGGTATAAAAGGACGTCAGGGGCTGCGCGTGGGGCGGGCGGGCAGCGGCCTCACCGCCTCTCTCTCGCCCGCAGAATAGACCTGGCCGAGTCGCTGGGGCTGAGTCAGCTGCAGGTGAAAACCTGGTACCAGAACAGGCGCATGAAGTGGAAGAAAATAGTAAGTCGCGCGTGGCCGGCCCTGGGCGCGCCGCGTCCCGCGTCGGGGGCATCCGACGGTGCCTGCGGCGGCCCCGCTTTGCAGGGGCCCGCGGCTCCCCCGGGCGCAGCGCGGAGCTCCGCGCCGCTTCGCTGCCTCCTGTGCCCTCCTCCTGGCCCGCAGGTGCTGCAGGGCGGCGGCCTGGAGTCCCCCACGAAGCCCAAGGGCCGCCCCAAGAAGAACTCCATCCCCAGCAGCGAGCAGCTGTCGGAGCAGGAGCGAGCGCGGGACGCCGAGAAGCCACCCGAGAGCCTCGGCTCGCCCTGTGAGGTCGTCCAGGAGGAGTGACCGGCACCGGCACCGACCAGTGGCCGCCCCGGGGCCGCGGTGGCGGCTCCCGCGGGCAGGATGCGGCGCCGCGACGGCAGCTCCGAGCCCCGCGGGGGAACGCGCAGGGACGGGACGCTCAGCGGACTCTTSTCGCCTTCGCTTTTCTCCGCTCTGCGCGCCGGCGGAGCGGTGTTGTGCGCCGGGCCGCACGGGCCAGGAGGACACTGGATCGCACCTCTCACACCTGCTCGCTTTCTAAATCCCTGTGGTGCCCCTAGTTATCCGAAAACTGCATTTTATGATCAGTTTTATTAATGCGAAGATATTTACTTTATTTCAATAAAGTATTTTATGAACTATTACTCTGGGTAATTGTAATGCTTTTAAAATATTTTTTTCTTCGCGGAACTATATTAATCAATSAGGGACGCAATGCAAGCTCAGAGGCAGACGGAGGGCACTAGAATAACGCGYGGCCCTGTGCCCAGGGCTGTTTCTTCGCGGTGTGGGGACGCAGCAGCCGCTGCCATCCTGAGGGCAGCCCGGGAGCAGGACCCGCTGTCTTCGCTGGCGCAAATTTGGAAAGGAGGAAGCCGATACTTTTGGGGTTTTGTTTTTAACACAATTCATAAGAAATATTTAAATTATATAGCTGTGGCACTGCACACAGTAAAACATGTTTTTTTGTTGTTGTTGTTGTTGTTGTCGTTGTTGTTTTAATCGCGGTTGGGGCAGAGATCTGCCTGGTCCTATACTGCCTGGAAGCGAGCGGGCTGCGCTGCCGAGAAGCGAGCGAAGGAGGATCCGCTGCCTGCGTGGGCCTCGGCGCAGCCGCCGCTCTCGTGCTTTGTGCTACCAACAGCAAGGGCAGCGAGAAGCCGTCGTGGCTGGGTTTTGTTGTTGTTGYTTGGTGATTTTTTTTTCTTTTTTTTTTTTTTTTTTTTGAGTCCATGCTGTACTTTTTCCACCGAAATACCAAATTACAGAGCATCCGCGGAGACATGCAATTATCATCTTGTTGGATGAAGAAGGGAGAGAGAAAAAAAAAAAAAAAAAACCGCCGCAGGAAGCAGGGATCGGGGGAAGGGACGGGCCGCCGGAGCGGCGCTGCTGGCGATACCGCTGCCCCGCGCCCCTCCGCCGACACTTCGGGAAACCCCGAGCGCTAGGCCGAGCACCTGGTGCTAATTGACCACCTGGTGCTAATTGGCCTCCTAATTAAAGGGCGTCATTAGCGGCCGGCTCAGGCCGGTTCCGTCCCGCTCTCCGTCCCGCAGCGCGGGCGGCTCTGGGGGGAAGCGCAGCCCGCGTGGCGGCCGCTCCGGCCCCGCCGCGGCTCTCTCTGATTCCCCCCGCCGCCTCGCGCACTCTGCTCATTTCCCAAAGCTCGGACTAACCCGGGTGAGTCGTGGGACCGGGCGGCAGCGGCGGTCGAGGCCGCGTCTTGCCGCGGAGCCAGCGCTGATTCCAGGTGGAAGCGGCCCCGGGATGAGAGGGGGTACGGCCCCCGCTGAATAAACAGGAAGCGAGCTCGAGCTCTTACCCTAAAATGGCTAATATMTGTTTAAACAAGCAACAATGGGATTGAAATCTTTCGTTTAACCTGCGATAGCKGTTGCGGTTTGGCTGCGGATCGCAGGGCGCTGCCGGGTGCGGGCCTGCGCTGCTGCGGGTCCCGCCGCACCGCGGAGCCCCGCGGATGTTCCCAGTCTTGTCACTTCTCCCCCTCAGCCTCAACTCGCTGATTTCGTTCGGTTTCAGGCTAGGGACTGATCTATCTCGATGCCCTTAGAAACTGCCGACCTTAGTAATCAAAAAAAATCAGCGGGGCGCTGACCTAAATTACCAAGAGACGGGCAAGCCGCGCCCGACACGCGTGTCTAGCGGGCCATTGGAAATACCTAACTTCCTTTATTTCTATCGCGCTCACGATATAATGTTTATATTTTCCTTTTACCGTGCGAATAAGTGGCGAACAAGCGGTTGCTTCTCGCACACCAGGAAGGCGCTGGGGTGGCAGCTCCTGGGCACGGGGACAGGCGCAGCCCTTTGATCCAGCCCGAGTCCCTACGTGTCCCCCTTCTCGGTTAGCGAGTTCTGTGTTTGCACCCGCTTGACCAGAAAGGTGTGTGTGGGGGGGAAGGTTAAGTGGTTTTTTCTTTTTCTTTTTTTCTTTTTTTTTCCCTTTTGTAGTAACAATCTTAATTGCAAACTTCTATTTCGGAAGCAGCCGTCTTCAAGGCGGWGTCGATGTGCTCTGAACTAAGTGCTTCTCTGAGCATTTTCACCGTTGCTAATAAATACCAAGTTCTTCTTAATCACATTAAAAATATGCTAGAAGAAATCGCTAATGTTCTTGACAAGTTTTTTTTCTCGTAAAAATTCTTATCTTTAGTACAAATTGTCTTCTCTTAAAGTGGCTTATACACTTAAAGTTCTGTTAAAGTTTTTTTAATTTCACACGTGGCAGAAGAGCCTGTCCGGGCGCTGGCTGCTTCAGTATTCCCCAGCTCGCAGCCGAAGGGGACTCTGCAGGCTGTCGTCGTCTATGTGACAGGAAAAAATAATCAAGGCAAGTGCCACCGGCTATTAGTAAATTGTTCCTTCTAGCTGCGCTGTGATATGTGGCGCAGTTGCGAGCAGGGCTCCGGGGCTCTCCCTCCTCAGCACCAACAACCCTCGCGCCAGGTGAGTGCGCAGGAGGCGGCCGCCACGGGCCCGGTCCCCACGCAGGGGGTGCGCGCGGCGCCTCCGACACCGGACGGGGTTTTACCCCGTGGCGGAGCCGCCCAGGGGCGCGCGGGAGCGGGAGAGGCTCGCGGAGCCGTTGAGGGGGCCGGGGGAGCCGTTGAGGGGGCCGGGGGAGCCGTTGAGGGGGCCGGGGGAGCCGTTGAGGGGGCCGGGGGAGCCGTTGGGCTCGCGGTGTGGGGGAGCGCGGGGCGTGTCGGGAGCCGTTGAGGGACTCGGGAGCCGTTGGGCTCGCGGTGTGGGGGCTGTCGGAGCCGTTGAGGGGCGCGGGGTCTTCGTGCAGCCGTTGAGGGGAGCGGCCGGGGCAGGTGCCGCGGGCCGGGGCCCTGCGCTGCGGCGGCCCCCGGGGCAGACCCGGGAAGAGCGTGGACTAAGAGAACACGTCGGGTTTATTGTTTTTTCCTTCAAAATGCAACTCGTAGCGCGAAGTGTGCGGGCTCGATCGAGGCTTTAACGCCGGTAGGCATTTCCGGGCTTGTAGGAGAAAAGCGTTAACATCTATCTGGAATTCATTCTCCCTCAAATGTAGTTAAAATGCAATGTGCAGATTAGAGTTATTTATTAGAGCGAATTCATTCAGAATCCCTCAAAAACGATTACTCTGCGTGTGAAGCGCCCTCGTTGCCTTAGCCCCAGCAGTCGCGCTGAGATGGCCGCAGCAGCGGGCGTTTCAGCCCACGTTTAGGAGCGGTAAAAGCCGAGCGCTGCCTCCCGCCGTGACGGCGCGTGCGGGACGCGCGGGCAGGTGGGCGCCGCGCGCAGCTCCGCACGCGCCGCCCGCCCCGCCCCGCCGCGGAGTCCGCAGCAAATTCGCCGGCATCGGAGCTCGCGTGTGGATGTCACCTCGAACGAAACGAATGACGGCCGCTGTCCCCGTAGGCAGCGTGGGTTGTTTTTTTTTTGATATCTAAAAATACGCGCAGCTTAGCCCCTGACCGTGCAGTTTTGTGTTGATGGAAAAAGGCAAAGTCGCAGCCTTGTACGGTTTCATCAGTTTACAAACACAGTCCATTAAAACATGATTATGTATAAAATGGGCTCTTTTTGCGAAGATCCGAAAATCCGTTGTTTATGTTGTACCTATATTAACAAACCACAAAATAAGCTTGTAACATTTCGAAAGCATTTTTCCTTTTCTTTTTTTTTTTTTTTGTTCGTGGATGGGGAAGCTTGTCAAGAGTGAAACGTCATATAAGTTGAATGAATAAAAGAAGATTTATTTGTGTCTAAAGTTTAAGTATTAGTTGCGATGGGAAGACTCGTTTTTTAATGTAATGAGTATTATGCTGTGTAAATTTGCTTTCTGAATAGATACTGAAGTCAGTAGCTTACATATAAATGGAGGGTACTATTCACGGGAGAGTAGATAGAGGAGAGAGAGAGGGGGGGGAAAAAAAAGCTTGAGATTGTTACAGACCGTTTGCTGAATTGAAGTACAGATATAGTTGAAGTGTTGTATATTTTCTATTCACAGACAAAAAATATTCAGCCATGGTTTGCCGTGAAAAGCCGTGGGTCCTGTGCAAAAAAAGACATCTGAGAGGTATTTCCAGTTTTGTACCTGCTTTATAACAGATTACTCTCAAACCTGCGTGTGCTGTGTCCTAGATCTCRGGCGTTCCCGGAGGGGACCCAAGAGTAAACAGAGCTGGGAAGAGGCAGACGGGGAGTTAGCGGCACATGGAAGCGCCGTGTGTCCCGAAGAGTCCCGAGGTCTCTCTGGAGATGCAGTATTTGTAGGTGGGAGGAGGAAAGGAGCTCCCTCCTGCACGCAATCCCTTATATAAATTATGGCCCAGCAGTTCCTGGGTCTGAGTGCCTCCACCTGACCCAGGCTGGTGAACCTGCTTTGGAGGTATTTGCTAAAGATTAAACATAAGCGCTTAAGCTTTTAACATAAACATCAAATAACTCTAAATAGCATCATGTCTCATTTGTATCACTTGCTGAAATGTGGAAGTAAATAACATCTTGTGTTAATTAAAGGAGTTTTTAGGAAGGAATAATTTCCACATCTCATCTCTTCCTTCCTGTGAATTCATTATGTGAGAATGAAGTTGTTAATACTTCCATTGCTTAATCAGATACTCTCCCGGGGACCCTRCTGCCTTTGCAAAGCTCTGGATTCTATGCCAGTCTGTAAAAAAATTCATGGAGTCCCCTGATGTTGTCTCATTTTAGCTCTGTGGTGCCTATGGCTGCCATGGGTTAAGTTAAAAGGAAAGTACACGATTTTTGAATTCCACAGTGTGCTGTGAGACTTTCACATT